CAACCATGATAAAGGACTGCGCAGACTTCACACGAAAATGTGAGGTTTGCCAGAAGTTTCAAACGAACCCTGGAAGGCCTGCTACTCTGTATGTCCCAATAAGTACAGCGATCCCCTTTTTAAGGCGGGGAATAGATCTCGTGGGTCCCCTTACACAGGGCTCAGGAGGTCAGAAGTTCGTCATAGTTGCTATTGATTATTTTACTAAATGGGTTGAGGCCGAGCCAATGGCCACAATCACTGCTGAGCAATGCAAAAGGTTCGTCTAGAGAAACGTATTTTGCCGGTTTGGCGTTCCCATGCAAATCATTACTGATAACAGGAAGCAGTTTGATTCTGAGCCGTTTAAAGAATTGTGTGGGCCATGGGGAGTTGAGGCTAGCAAGGCGTCTGTTGCTTATCCCTAGTGCAACGGACACGTTGAAAATGTGAACAGAACAATTGTGGATGGCCTGAAGAAGAAACTTGAATCTATGAGAACGACTTGGGTGAACGAGCTCAACAATATCCTTTGGGCCTACCGCATGACCCCGAGGAAGGCAACTGGTGAAACGCCATTTGCTCTAACTTATGGCTTTGAATTCCGAGCTCCCTTAGAAGCCTTATTTCCAAGCAAAAGGGCGGAAGACTATGACCCTAAAGACAACGAGGAAATGTTAAGGGAGGAACTTCATCTGATTGAGGAAAAAAGAGAGAGGGCTTTCATCTGCGCCGAGAATTATTGGCGACAGGTAAAAGAGTACCATGACCCCAGGATCAGACCGAGACAATTCGAGATCGGGGATTTGGTCCTAAGGAGGAGGTGTGTTAGCAAGCCTCTGGAGGGTGGAACGTTTGCCAAGAATTGAGAAGGGCCCTACAAGATCAAGGGGATAGTTAGGTCTGGGACCTATAAACTGTGTACTCCTAAAGGGAAACTGGTAGACAGGGTGTGGAATTCAGCGCACCTATTGAAATTCTACCAGTAAGTATGTAATTTCTTTTCGGCATGAGTTTAATAAAAGTTTCATTTTCTTTCACAAAATGTCCTTTATACATGACTTGCGAAGGTTTCTTAACCAACCAAAAAAATTAAAGGCTATGCCTAATTGGTACTCGCAAAAAGACAAAGTATAAATTCCAAACTCATCTAAATTCCAAAAGCTCAACCTAGTCTTCTTAAAAACAAAAGCGGGAATAAAACAACCTTTCTCAAGGTTAAACATCCTTACAAATGAAATCAAATTTCCTTCAATAGGAAAAGACAACTTTTCTCAAGGTTAAAAATGATTTTACAAGGCTAAATATGAAATTGAAGGAATTAACTTTGCACCAAAGAGGCTCACAAGCATCGCCAATTAAGAGGCTACTCACCAAGGTTAAAGTAACCTGAAGTGAAGCCCATCCAATCTGACTCAATTACTAAGAGCCTAAGGGTCTAAAATTGGTAAATCCATGCTTCCCCTAAAGGCCTGGACCGCAGCCGAACCGGCTTCCTTAGCTTTTCTCCTCAGCTCCTCCTCCATGATCCGGTGAACAACCTCAATGTCACTCAGCCTCTTCGGCAACGCATCACCCCTTTGCACCGCTGCCTCCAACCTCCTCTCGAGATCTGCCGTTTGTTCCTTGAGATTGGTCTGCAGGGTCTGGGCATCATCTTGCCCCTCATCCAAACGGCGCGAACCAGAAGAAGCCAGAATGAAGGCCAACAAGCAATAAAATGGGATTAAGAGAGAGGACGGACCAAAGACCTTGAATTAAGTGATAAAGGATAAGGATCAAAACGTACCTCACATATGGAGTGGATGACACGTCGGATGGCTGTTCGAGGCGACAGCTCCCTGATCTCTTCAGCATCAGCGGGATGGGTGACTGCCAAGCCCAAGGACACAAGATTCACAGTACAGCGGAACAGAGAAGCGGATCCCGCCTTCATGGAGAGACGGATGGTGTGGATAGGTGTCGGGGCTTTCCCCTGATCACCACCTTCCTGAGACTGGGCATCCGAGTCAGAGTCAACGTCAATCACATCGTCAGTGGACCTCACATCAGCTTTTCCATTCTTCTGGGGACCAGAGACAGGCCGGAGTGTCTGCCTCTTCCTAACCCCCTTACCACTGGGGGGGGGGGGGGGCTGGAGGTCAACAGCCGGCATATTCAAGGTCCCAACACTGTCTCCAGGGGTGGATCCCCCCGACTTCGCTGAGGTGACCCCAATGGCTCCCCTGGTTTGGATCTTCCTCAAAGGGACCAGGGGATCGGGGGTAGCGTCAGCCTTGGCAGCAAGCCGTTCCAACCGGGAGGCCATCTTATCGCCCGTTGCATCAAAATGAAGAGAGTATTAATATGACAGGACACACAATAAAATGAACAAAATGCCAAATCACGTGTAATCGACCTGGCAAGTATGAAAGTATTACTGCTCCATCCTCACCTACGTAATGCCCCATCAACAATCATTCTAGCAGCTTCAGCGTTTCCCTCCGACAAGAATGACATCACCCACTTTCGAATTAATTCCACCCATTTGTTCACGAACTGGAATTTGCCATCCGCAGGGGTGACCCAAACCCATTTTTCCTCCAACCCTTGAAAGAATTAGGGTAGGACTTGGCTTCAAACAAGCAGTGGCCAGCCCGTTGAGAAATCGAAAGATAACCCGGGGATTCAGAAGCACCGGGGTCTTACAGAGTGGAAAAAGTGGAGGAAAAGATCGATGAATGGATGGATTCGCAAATGAATGCATCGGGCGATAAACCCAACAATGAACATGTGTGTGGTTGGGGAGAACTGACCTGGAGTCACGCCGTAAAAATTCAGAATTCTCAAATGGGCATTATGTAGCGGAAACCAAAGACCTACTTGCAAACTGCTAAATGAACCCCAAAATGAAGGGGAGTAGGGGGTTCTACGATGATCTGACCGGGGGAAGGACGTGAGCAGACGATGCTAGGGCCTGCAAGGCCCACCACCTCCTTAAATTCGGCGTCGGAAAAAGAGAAATGACCGGGACTCGCCGGGCATGTTCACAGGAGAGGAAGAAATGAGTTTCCCTCCCCTCTGGGTCTACCGGTATTTGGGACCGGTTCGACGTGCCCCCCTCATCAGGAAACACATGGTGAATTGGAACTAAAGTAGAAGAAGACATCGGGAGGACTAAACTAGTGAAAAGTGAAGATGAAAGGGAGAGGTTTTGCGGCTCAAGATTCCCAACCAAGAAGACAAAGGCTCGAGCAAGAATGAAAATTACATAAGAGTTTTTTGAATAATGACAAGCGTTTATATAACCTAATGATTAGGGCTTGGAAACCATCCCAAAACCGCTTGGGAACCACAATCATAACACTTGAGTGCTGAAGATGGTAAGATAGGTTGGATGTTGTGTCGGGCCGCAGATCTGAATCAAGTTAGACGCATTTAATGCAGTACGATGCTACAGTCCACCAAGGGATTCGAAATTTGAAATTGGTTAAACCGCTCAACTTACTCTCCTAAAATCCAGCCCTGCTGATTTTAGAGAGTAGGGGGGCTCATGATGGTACCATGGACTCTGACCATGGCCCAATTATGGAATTATAGATCAAGCCCTTAATGGGATCTAGCCCATAATGAGATCAAGCCCTTAACGGGATCAAGCCCATAACGGGATCAACCCATAAACGGGATTAGTATTAACTAGCCGCTAGGCCTAATTAGGAATAAGACTCACGAAAGGAACCCACAACCAGGACAGGCTGGACAGTAGATCTCGAGCCTGGGCGGAATTCTAGTGAGGTCGGAATATTCTAGGGCTTACGTGGCAGGATATCATTCGTGCATAGCTATCTGGCAGCAGGCAGGAATAACGAAAGAACTTGGACTTAAAGAAACAATCATTGCACAATGGCCAAGACGTTACAAGAGTTCTACTCGGACTAATATGTAATTAATAGCATTTATTGTAGCAATTTCCTCCTAAAATACTAGCTCCTGTAGTCTATAAATACTTCTTGAAATTCTCCTGTAAAGGGATCAAACTCCTGATATTAAAATAATGCCTTACGCTGCCATACTTTCATCTGCTTTCGTAGATATAGCTCTCGTAGTTGGATTAAACTCCATCAGTGGGGTGATAATAAAAGCCCATTTGGTTGAAAGTTGAAACTGATGAAATTCTAATTGAAATGATTGAATCCTATTGAATTGTGGAGAAATGATATATAGAATATATTTTGTTAATAAAATAAAGAAATATTATATAAAAATAGTTAAAATGGTTTCCAATGGTAACTTCCGCTAATTAAGTAAAAAATGTTGATTGATAAGCCTCACAAACTCAAAAAACGATTACCATACAAACTTTTAATGAATGATTATTAATGTTACATAGTTGGTAAAAATGTTGAATGATAAGCCTCACAAACTCAAAAAATGATTACCATACAAACTTTTAATAAATGATTATCAATGTTACATGATTGATAAAAATATTGACTGATAAGCCTCATAACCTCAACAAATGGTTACCAATCAGACTTTTAATGATTGGTAGAGAGCATGGAACAATGACCTCTCTTCGATTCATGTGAGAGAGATAAGACCACCTTTGGGAGTTAAAACTAAAAAGTTTAAACCGTCATAGGAATCTATGATGAAAAATTTATAAGTAGGCTACATGCAATGTGGGAGATATCCACCGATAAATAGTTGTGAGATTTAATGGATTTTTAGCGCGCCATCACTTGAAAGTCCCTCATAGGGGTGTAAATGAGCCAAGCCGCTCGTGAGCCGCTCGCGAATCGCTCGGTCATCGCTCGACTCGTGTTCGGTCATGTTTGAACTCGAGCCGAACTCAAGCCAGCTCGGTATGGTGTCGAGCCATTTTCGAGCACTATTATTCTTGGCTCGTGACTCGCGAGCCGGTTCGCGAGCCACACTATTCTTATAAATATATTTATATATATTTATAAATTATAGTATATTACATACATTAATACATATATACACTATTCTTATACAGTAGTTTCTAAATTTGATTAATATTTTATGAAAGGACATGATTAAAGTTTAAAGTGGGCTTTTTAGAAGCAAATGTGTAACTCTAAATCTATTCATCCGCTGAATCGCTGAACATCTTCTACCATAGCTAAGGCCTGAGTTTGTGACATTCACAGTAGCGATGGCGTGAGTGCGCGACATCTTCTACCTCCAGCTTCTCCGGAGTCCAGAATCTCCACCATTACAACTCGCTTCAATCAGGTATTTCCATTGTCCTCTCTTCAAGCCAGATTTATCATTAGGAATTTAGGACCATTGTCATCCTCTTCTTCGTCCCGCTCTGGCCATTGTTTTACAGAAAAGGAAAAGAAACGGAAAAGATATGGCCATATGGGAGGTCGGTGAAGAAGGGTGAGGAAGGGAGGGTTGGTAAAGTATGTGAAAAATTGAGGTAAAACATAAAAGTAACTTTATATTTGCACTGGGGCTGACATAGGTGCACCAAATATTTACCAAAAAGTGAACTTTCATGTTTAATTGTTTCAATGGTTGGCAAAGTTCATGTCTATCGAAAGGAAAAATAAGCAAGTGCTTTGACAAGGCACTAGAATATCAGAAATGTTGTTTCAGCTAATGGTTTATTTATCCGACAGGTTCTATACTTCTATATCTATCGAAGGTCACTACTTTATTTATAGATAAGTGATTCGATGTTAGATGGTATTGTTACTAATGAACAAATTGTTATGCACTACACTAACAAGTAGATTGTACATTCGATTAAATTGTTTTTTAGTTAAGAAGGGTTCACTTTAATGTACTCAGTGACATTTTCTAGTGTTGCATAAGTAATTCGTAATTACATTTTTTAGCAAAAGAAAAATGTTACAGAATACTCAATCATATGCATCATGCAGCTCCTTCGCGAACACGAAGAGCATTGCGAAACTGTACCCTGTGCTTTCAGTTTTGAGAATTTTTGGATTGGTGCTTTGATTCCTTGTCGTTTCATTGTATTGAATTTTTTTGTGTGTGTACAATTGCTATAATATTCATAGTGCTCTGAATGGAATCATATCATTATTAGAAATTCAGAATAGAGAGTTTAGGCCTTTAGGCCACTTAACTAGAAGCTTTTATGAGGGGCTTTTAAGTTTTACCTTCTGATGTTTTAGCCTATAAAAGTGTAGCTTAGAGCAGTTTTATTATATGAACATGTAATATAAATATAATTTGTGAACTACCTTTTGGATTTTTCAATTACGTTGGAAACATTATTTCTTGTTAAAACATTATTTTGGAATGATAGAGGAGTAGTATCCTCTTCTTCTTGAAAAAGATAGTACACGAACTATAAGGGTTATGTTTTTAATCTGGGACTTATTTCATGGAAAATGGAAAAATACTAATTAAGACCTGAAGTTCGTTAAAAGAGTTAGTTGTAGGCTCGTAGCATTTCTCCATATGCACTAACTTGCATAGATGTTCTAACATTAAGTATGTTTATTGCAGATACAAGGCAGGATAAGATTTGGTGTTTTTTCAAATTACATGTGATACAGATGAAAGATTAGCTCTAAAGGCTAAGATCTGAAGGACATATTATTCCTTCTTTTGTAAGTTCTAACTTTATTGTGATTGTTTTTGGAAACAATGCAATTAGCAAATCCAATGTTCTATTGGTAAGCATACAACAAAGTATGAAAGTGATGATGCACCCATTTTTAGATATTCGTTTCATCAAGCATGTCTACAGAAGATGCATCCATTCAACTAAATCCACACACCTCGAGCAGTGTAGTTGTTGAAAGTGATGAGCTACAAGAACAAAGTGATCAAGTTGAAAGAATAGAACCAATTGTAGCTAGCCAAGAAACTTCACAAAATGCTGAAGAAGAGGAGTTTCAAATAAAGAAAAGGAAAAAGACTTCTGATGTATGGGATGATTTTGAAGTTGTCATGGTAAAAAGGGTTAAGAAGGCGATATATACTCATTGTTCACGTCATTTTGCATTGATTAAAATGGGTACCACAACTAGCTACAAGAGGCACCTAAAGAATTGAGTGCAGAGAAAAATGAAACTCAAGGTAAGTCTAAATGTTCCATGCAAGTATATTATTAAATCTACTTCCTTATCATTACAACCAGCTAATTTATTTCACATATGACTTTTTGTGTAGGAAATGGAGCAGCAAACCAAGTTGAATTTTTCACCGTGCGATGGAGGTGCACCATCACTTCCTCCTTTACATGCTGAAAAGTTCGACATGGAACAAATGAGGGAATCAATAGCACATTGGACAATGATGCATGAGCATCCTTTTACCATTGTAGAAGAAGAAGGATTTAACTTGATGATGAAACGAGGAATTCCTAAAAGGAAAAGAATCAGTAGAAACACCCATAAGGCATATTGCTTGAAGGTTTATGAGCTTGAGAAGAAGAAGTTGAAAAAGAATCTTGAAGGTATTAGTAAGATAAGCTTGACAACAGATTGTTGGAAATCAAAAACTCAAAAGATTGAGTATATGGTTGTTACTGGACATTGGATTGATTCTTCTTGGAAAATACAAAAGAGACTCTTGAGCTTCATCAACATTCCACCACCAAGGGGAGGTCTTCAAATTTATGATGCATTATTCAAGTGCATGAAAGAGTGGGGAATCGAGAACAAGGTTTTTACTATCACGGTGGATAATGCTACAAGTAACGATTCTGCAATTCGTTATATGAAGAATACAATCCAAATGTCAAGAAAGTTGGCTTGCGATGGAATCTTATTCCATGTACGCTGTTGTGCTCACATTTTAAACTTGTGTGTTCAGGATGGGCTGGATGAGATTCGTTATATTATTAGTGAAGTCAAAGAGAGCGTTGAGTATGTTAATCGCTCAGAGGCGAGGCGGATTCAGTTTGCTAATTGTATGCACCAATTGCAATTGAAAGATAAGAAGTTGATTTATGATAGCAAAACTAGATGGAACTCAACTTTTGAAATGCTAAGTTGCGCTCTCAGGTTTAAAGACGCTTTTAGGATGTTAAGTGATTGTGATTCGGGGTATACAAGCTGTCCTCTTGAAGAGGATTGGGAAGCGACACATATAGTTTCAGGCAGTGAGTATCCTACTTCCAATTTATTCTTGAAAGAAGTCCAAAAAATCAAATCATATTTGGATGCCAATTCAAGTCACAAGGATTCTTTTATTCGGGAATTAGTTTGCAAAATGAAGCTAAAGTTTGATAAATATTGGGGCGAGTGCAACTTGTTGATGGCATAGCTGTGGTGTTAGACCCCACAAAGAAAATGCTTGCAATCGAGTTTTGTTTTCCTAAACTGTTTTCGAAGGAGGAAGCTGGACAAAATATTTCAAAAGTGAAGCAAACTCTAACTTCTCTTTATGAAGAGTATGCTGCTGATTCCATGAACAAAGTGAATACTTCTTCAGTACATTCTGAAAGATGTGGTTCTTCAAGCAATCTTCAGAGTACTAAAAGTTATGCCCATGTTTGGGATGAAGACTTTGAATCATTTTGTGCAGAAATCGAGACTATAGAACCTATAAGATCTGAACTAGTAGATTACCTGGATAAGAGTCGCCTCAAGAAGAATGAAATTTCTGAAGAGTTTTCTTGTTAGGACTGGTGGCGTATGAACCGGATACAGTATCCAATACTCGCACAAATGGCTAAAGATATTTTAGCCATTCCAGTTACAAGTGTCGCTTCTGAAGCCACTTTTAGTGCAGGTACAAGGGTTATTGATTCTTACCGTGCATCATTGTTACCTGAAACGGGTCAAGCTCTGCTTTGTGGAGGAGATTGGCTTCGTCATATGTATGGAATAACAAAAAAGAAAGTAAGGAAGTTTATCTTACTTTTGTAATTTTAATTAAATACTTTACTTAGTAGATGGTCATTTTACGTACTGATTAATTCACATGTTCACTTAATTCATATTAACGGTTACTTTGTATTGCAGAAAGACAAGTCATACGAAGAAATAGTTCTTCCCGAGTCTACATGATGAAAGTAGGTTACCTTCAATCTCTCTACATTGTTTGATGGTTAACTTGAAATTCTCTTTTTAAATAGAGTATGTCGTTACAACTTGCTTGAAATTTGTTAGGTTAGTTCTAGTTCTGACTTGCTTGAAACTAAAACTCTTTCTTTTCTTGCATCTCTCTTCCTTACTGTCCAACCGAAAGATAATGCTCTTTGCAGGCTGGCCATGGCTATGTTGGGGGGAGGATGTTGAGCCGATGCTGTATAAATTTTTGCTTGTGGTATAGTTATCTACTCCTTCAGTTGTTTCAAAAAATTGAGCCTAGTTGTAGACTAAATTGGGTGTGTAGTCTTGGTTCCAATATTTGATTGCCTTCTGTACGTAAATATCAGAGAATGGACCTTTGTTGATTTTGTCTATCAAACAGGGAGCAGTTTCATGCAAGCTTTGTTCTACAGATGTCCTGTTTCCATGATTGTTACGTACTATTAACATTCTTAAATCTTAATGCTTGATTTCAGTTAAGATAATAGTTTGATCTGTTGTTCTTTTTAAATTTTGCAGATTAGTAAGTCTAACTTTTCTGTGGCAAGGGTGTTTGATGTTAATACAATCTGGATGACAAAAGGCATGGAACTTGAAGTTGAAAAGCACATTTGAATGCCCAACGTTTTTGTTACTTAATTATGTTTTTGCTCAACGAACTATAACTAGTAGTTATTATGTTTTTTGTATTAGAGTTTATTACAACTGTTCTGATACTAGTTATACTATTTAAAACTCATGTTTGATATTTTAATGTACATTAGTTTCTTGTTTTAACATAAAAAATTGGTTATTTTATTTGATTCCCGAGCACAGGCTCAACTTCGCGAACGTAAAATTTCGAGCCTACCGAGCCCAACGAGCCGAGTTCGAGCCATATTAAAATTTCACGAGCCGAACTCGATCCTGTATTATTATGCTCGTTCGAGCTCGAGCTCGAGCCAATAAAATTAATTCGAGCTCGAGTTCGAGCATACCCCAGATGAGGGACTCCCTCATTATTAACTAGGAATTTGTGAATTAATGTTTTGCGAAGGAAAAGAAATATCTAGAATAGCAAGTCATTAATCGATTGAAGATCAATGAAAGAAAATGAAGTGCAAATGTGAGACAATTTTCAGATCACACGTTGGATTGTTATAAGAAGACTAGTAAAATGTTAGATTATTAGTTTCCATTTTTCGAAAAACTTATTATACGTATTAACCACATTGCACGTCCGAGTGACTCAATTACAACTTCAAACCAAGCTCGAAGTCCCAATCTTACTATATACAAACTAGAGTGGAAAACCAGCCAATACTCCCACCTAAAGATACAGGTCAAAACCAATATATGGATCAGATATTTTGAAAATTTTAATGTTTACGGGGCCACATAAAAGTAGGTTTGATAGTTTGATGGTTGTCAGGCTGTCACACGGTGTTGTCCATTCCAACTGTTGAAATGTTTTTTCGTTTGCTATAGTCTCAAAATCCAGCATATCAACCTGCACGGGTAGCTCAGTTGGTTCAGTGGCGGGAAATTTGGAACATTGACCAAGATTCGAAACCCGCAGCAGCCGTGTGAAGGTTACAGCTCTTGCGTGCTAGGCTGGACCTCTGGTCCGCACGGGTATAAGGCCTACAATCATTGGACCGATTGAGTCACCGTGACTTAGATCCTCCCAAAAAATCCTGTCGGGTCAGGGTGTGGGAGCCCTTGGGGTTGAGGATTCAATGTTGGAACATCGAAATCCAGCATATCAATATCTTTTTGGATAGTGTAAAAGCTGTCAGAGTCACGAGTATGAGATTTTCGAGCTGGCTTCCCATTTCCCCAAATGTCAAATCTCTTCGCCTAGAACAACATAATCCACTTACTGCCTTTGAAACGGTTTCCGGACCACAATGGTGCAGTTCTGAAGCACGGCGGTGCCGTCACCAAAGATGAAATCAATCCTGCCAGAGATTTCACAGTTCTGGTAAAACTGGCGGTAGGTTTAGGCATAGACGGTGTGTTGGTAGCCGTCCATCTTGCAGTTGTAGAATATGGATTTGTCTGCACCCACCCTCAGAGCTACGGCCGGGTGCTTTTCCGGCCCGGTGGAGTTCTCAAATCCGATGTCCCTAGCCATAAAACGACATGCAAGGCTGCAAGTCGACTTGATGACTTCCATCTACGCCCTTGTTGTCTCTGAACTCTAATAGTTTAACAAACGATGATGAAGATTAACAGAAAAATAGAGTTGGTCACCCATCTGAGAACAACAAGAAGCATACCACAAAAGAACTGAATCTAGAGCTCTGTTAGGTTTCGCCAATGTCGTAAGGAAGGGCCGGAATTCACTGTTCGGTTTTCATACTGATAGCCAAATACTCCATATATTTATATCTTTTGGCAACTGAAGTGCATATCGCTGATTTCATCTGGAATCGAATGGCAATCCAAGCCACTGGACCTCACAACGGCTGCCACAAACCGCTTCTGGATTTGAGCTAATGATTTGGCGATGGGCGGCTTTGAAGCCGGTTGGGGGCCTTTGGCCTAAAAAAATCAGAGTATCAGAAGTAGTAAAATTATTTTTAAAATATAGTAGTAATACCGAGGATGAAATGGAAGAGTGTCAGGATTTCTATGCGATCGAGGTATGCCGACTAGACTGAAGGGTAAATTTTATAGGACGACAATTAGGCCTGCATTACTGTATGACGTAGAGTCACTACTAGAAAAATAGCTATTTGTTGCGGTTATAATTAGCTATTTGCTACGGTTCTGAACCGCAACAATTGGAAGGGCAGCAAATAGTAGGAAAATGTATTTGCTGCGGTTCCGAACCGCAACAAATAGGAGGAACCCAATGATGTTCAAGACCTCTTAATTATGTGTTTGGATCATTGGAACATTTTTATGTTAATTATCAAAAACACTTGTGCATGGTTGTGTTGTGCTACTATTTTGTTAAAAACATCATGAACAGGATTTGGTTTACTCGAGACGAGCAAAAGTTCAAGTGTACATTTTTATTATCGTTTGTAATATTTATTTACTAGTATTATGCAAGTTTGTAGTTTTTAGTTTGCATTTGGTTGTAATCGTATTTTTATCATTTTATTGTTTGTTGTAAGTTGTAGTTAGTTGAGCTATAAGTTTAGGATAGGTTTGGAAGCAAGAAGGATGGAAAAACCTGAGTTTTATGGAAAACCTGGTGGGGTATGGACTTTACCCGGCCGGGTATGAAGTGACAAAGGAAATTGCTGCAAAACTAGCAAATACCCGGTCGGGTATTCCATATACCCGGTCGGGTATGAAGTGATTTCCAACCAAAAAACATGCAGAAGACACAAAAACATGGGAAAATGTTTGATTTGGTAAATACCCGGTCGGGTATGACAAAATACCCGGCCGGTTATCCGGCATTAGGTGTTGAAAACACCTATAAATAGCCCCATTTTCCTTCACTTTTCATCATCCCTTCTTCCATACTCCTAAGCTCAGTTTAGAATAGCATTTCTTTCTATTTTTCTAGCTATGTTTAGTCTCCAAATGAGGAGCTAAACTTCCATTCTTGGTGTTGCTCTTGAAGCTTGTTGATTATTAATTAATAGTTCTTTCCTTAATACCATCTCTATATTAATGTTGGGGAGTGTTGCTAAGATGACAATTAGTTAACATCTCGACATTAGTTAGAATAGTATTTTCTTCCTCTATATTAATGTTGGGGCGTGTTACTAAGATGCCAATTAGTTAACATCTTGATATTAATTATAGTAGGATTCATCTTCTTTAATAATATTCTTCCTTGAATATTAATTAATTCCTATTCATATTTCATATTAATATTTTGAACATTACTTAAAGGATCAACTAGTTTTGTATAATATATTAATTATTACTAGAAACGATCAACGAACCGATGGTTAATCGTTCATGGTTTCACGAGTAAGTAACTTCAGTTTTATTAATGCACGGTCGTGGTTAATAAACTTAAGAGGGATTAATTTTGTTGGGTAAACCGAAACCGTTGTGTTGAGGTTATCAATCTCAATTGATTTCATCAAGGAGTTAGAAAGATTAAATGCTACTATTAAATCAGTATAAGGCGTTGTTCTATATTCGATTAATAGTAAGGGTTATTAATGAACGGTTTTTGTTAATAACTACCCTCGATGAAGTGGATATACTCCCCGATTGAGTATTCGAGAGGGAATAAATTATAGATATAACAATGATCGACTAAAATATATCAACAAGTGGAAAGTAGCAATGCCAAGTCTTTTTTATCTTTGAATTAAACACATATAGGTTGTTCATCTTATTTCTTAATTGACTTAAATCATTCAAACCCAAACCCCCCCTTTTTATTTATTAAGTTCATAAAAGGAGAATTATTTTCTTTCCCTGTGGATACGAACTCTACTACGCTATACTACGTATAAGTGTTAGTATTGAATTTATTCTGACGCACAGTGACAAAGTGCTCGTCAAATTTGGCGCCGTTGCCGGGGAGAGGCAATTACTTTTCTTTTTATTTCTTTCGAGAAAAATCAAAAATAAAATATATTCAAATATAAAGATTTCTATTTTTTCTGAGCTTTGAAGTATATGGTTAAATATCGTTCACTGAACGAAATCACCTACCAAACAAATCCCGAAATAGAACAAGCCTTCGAGAGATTGAGAAATTTATTTCCGCACACACCCTCGGAGGAATCTTCAAACACTAGCTCAAGCTCAAGCGAATCCGAAGAGTCGATCCACATGGCTCTCGAGACAAGAACATTGAGGGAGCTCACAGCTCCAGACCTCAACCAACAACCACTATGTATCACCTTCCCTACTCTTGATGATGGTGCTACATTTGAGCTCAAATCAGGGTTTATCCATTTACTTCCTTCATTCCATGGTCTACGAGGCGAGGACACGAACAAATATCTCTCGGAATTCCGTATTGTTTGCACAAGCATGTGCCCAAATGGAGTCACCGAGGAGCAGATCAAGTTGAGGGCTTTTCCATTCTTCCTCAAAGACATCGCCAAAGATTGGCTATTCTATCTTCCCTCGGGGAGCATCAATACATGGGCTCAAATGAAAAGGAGCTTCCTTGACAGGTACTATCCCGCGTCTATATCTTCAAGTCTCAAAAAGCAAATCAGCAACATTGAACAAGCAGATAATGAGACCTTGTACGAATATTGGGAGCGCTTTAAAAAATTATGTGCTAGTTGCCCATATCATGGGTATTCGGAACAAGATCTCATCCTCTACTTCTATGATGGACTTGTTGATCAAGATAGACGCATGGTGAATGCGGCATGCGGAGGGGGTATTGTTAACAAAACCCCTTCTCAAGCAAGAGACCTCATTTCGGAGTTGGCCGAAAACTCGAGACATTACAACGGGAGGTCATCATCAAAACGAGTCATGGCAGCGGAATCCAACAATTCATTGGAAAGTCAAGTGGCCGGCTTGACTTCTTTGGTAAAAGATTTTCTCTTAAATCCGAAAATCCAAGAAGCCAAGGTCTGCGGCATATGTTCAACACAGGGGCACCCCACTGATTCTTGCCCCACACTACAAGAAGAGAACTCCGAGCAAGTCAATGCGATGGGGTTTCAAGGTCAAAGGAGGTACGATCCTCAAGGGAATACCTACAACCCGGGATGGAGGGATCATCCAAATTTAAGGTATGGAAATTCTCAACAACCTCAACAAACAAACCCTCCTCCTCAACAATATAAACAACAAAACCTAACAACGAACTCGAGTATGTCCACCGAAGACATGATTCGAGCGCTTGTCGTTAATAAGGGAACAATGCAGC